GTGCAAATTCAGAAATTCTGGTTAATAGCTTCAAAGCAAGCTAGGATATAAGGCATTCTCTGGGTTCATATCCTGGCTTGTTTTGAGTAGATTGTAAATGAGTTTAGCCTTTTAAGATTCCACATGAACACTTTCATGAAAAACTAGTAGTTCTTAGAAAATTCAAATAATTTTATTAGCCAAATTCTGCTCGTTCCCTGTATTTTGTGGTTCTACCAGGAAACAGCAATGTAACTATTTTGTAACTAACCTGATATAAAACATAGGGTAGTATTCAACTGAATTTTACTTGGAAAAGATCCATTGAAATTCTTATACTGTACATAACTAAGTTAGGTCCATTAATTTCATTGGGTCTCTTCTGAGTAAAACCTAGTTGAATACCACATGTAAACCTGGGGCAGTTAAAAATATGAAAGGAGAAGAAAAAACCTGTTTCAATTTCATGTTGAAAGTGGTTGTGGTGGAGGAATTAAGTATACATAAAACTCAAGTTACATCATTATACAATACTGTATGTGTATCATGGCAGGACTGGACTTCACAGCTGGTTACTAGATAGTAATGCATGGCTTCTAAACCTGGCTATAATTTGTATACTTCTGTAATTTTAATATTTGATTAAGCAAGCAAATAATTAAAGTGCACTTAGTGTGGTTTAAATACTAAATATGTTCAATCTTGGGAATGCTTGTAAATATTTTATACCAATGGACAGAGTATGGCAAACAAGCAAGCCCAATTTGAGCTCTTAATACAGAATGGCAAATATGATCTAATAGGCATTTCAGAAACCTGGTGGGATGAAACTCTTGACTGGAATGTCGAAATTGAGGGGTCCAACCTGCTCTAAAATAATATATCAAACCGGAAGGGAGGTGGAGTACCATTATATGTAAATAATGTGTATACTTGTAAAAAGATCCGTGACTTGGAATATGGAAGGCAGATTGAGAGTCTATGGGTAAAAATATATGGACTTCCAAGCCAGACTGAAGACTTGGATGATGACTTACTAGAGCAGTTTACCAATCATTCAAGAAGGAGAGAGAGAATAGTTATGGGAGACTTCAACTTCCCTGATATATGTTGGAACTCAAAATATGCCAAGAATATTAGGTCCAACAAATTCCTCACTTGCCTTGCTGACAATTCCATCCTGTTCATTCAGTGGCCAGGTGTATGCCTATGAGAAGCCTGAAAGCAGGACTTTAGTGCAACGGCATTCTTCTCTCCCGTGATTCCCAGCAATTGGTATTCAGAGGCATGCTGCCTTTAACAACATAGGCACTTGCCATTGTGGCAAGTAGCTATTGTTAGCCACTAGGGAACATTCTGGGACAAGTTGTGGGTCCTAAGAGTAATTTAATCTGGTGAACATGCTATGTCCCCATGATCAAAATGCTCAGAGTGGTCTTGAGGTGAAGAATGAAATTCAAATCCAAATGAAGCATTGAAAAGAGAAAATGTAGTAGTGGGTAACTTAAACTTCCCCCACATCTGTCATGTATGTTCCATGACAGAAAGGTAAAATTTCTGGATACCCTAAATGGCTGTGTCCTAGAACAGTTGGTCATGGAACTGACTAGAGGGGCAGCAACTCTGAACTTAATCTTAAGTGGTTTCTAGGACCCAGTATGATGTGTAAGTTTTGGCAAGTCAGTTGGGAGCACTGGTCACAGTTCTATTAAATTAAACATACATGTAGATCGCCAATTTTAAAGAAAGCCCAGAACAGTCACATTTGATTTTAAAAGAGGATACTTCCCCAAAATGAGGACATTTGTAAAAAGGAAGCTGAAAGGCAAAGTCAAGTGGGCAAAATCACTCAGAAATGCTTGGGAGTTCTTTAAAAACGCAATGTTAGATGCTCAGCTGGAGTGTATACTGCAGATCAGGAAACGAAGCATGAGGGCCAAGAAAATGCTGGCACTCTTAACAAGCAGAATCAAAGAAAAGAAAGTACTACTGGCAAGAAGACATCCGTCAAAAAATGGAAGGCTTGTCCAGATAAAGAGGATAAAATGCAACACTAACTTAGGTCAAAAAATGTGCAAGCATTTAGTAAAGGATACTAAAAAAAGAAAAAAGAATTGAAGGAACACATTGCCAAAAAGCCTTAAGTCCAAGAAGTTCTTTAAATCCATTAATAACTATTGGAAACTATTAGGGAAGCAGTTGCACCCTTGGATGTCAAGTGAGTCAAAGATGTGTTAAAGGAGGATAAGTTTGCAGAGAAGCTAAATTCTTTGCATCTGTAGGGCAGATCCCAGTGCCTGAACTTTTGCAGGAAGGAAGGAACAAGAGATGAAGTTCTTGGCCTAATAGACAAAATAAACACTGACAAATTGTCAGGTCTGAATGGCATCCACCCACATGTTCTGAAAGAAATCAAATGTGAAATTGCTGAGCAGCTATCAAAAACTGGTAACTTTCCCCATGTTTCTACCCCTGAGAACTGAAAAGCAACCTATGAAACACCAATTTTTAAAAAGGCATAAGAGGGGTTATCTAGAAGGGTGTTCTCTGTGGTAGGCTCCAGACCCTGGCATGATCACCCCTTAAAGGTGCTGCTGTCTCTTACATTGCTGTGTTTGAGACTCCAGTTGAAACATTTTTATTCACTCAAGCATTTGCAGTTTGACAGATAGGATGTGTACTCTTCATTAACAACTTATGTACTTCTATTTTAATGGTTTGCTATCAATTTCTTGCTGTATATATCTTTTTAGGTTTTCAAGGAAGTAGGATTTATAGATAGGGTGATTTACAGAGAAATAAGTAAGTAATCAGTACTGCCTTCTTGTAGTTTATACTTCAAGTATAAAAATACTAGAGACGCGGGTGGTGCTGTGGGTTAAACCACAGAGCCTAGGACTTTCTGATCAGAAGGTTGGCAGTTCGAATCCCCGCGACAGGGTGAGCTTCCGTTGCTCGGTCCCTGCTCCTGTCAACCTAGCAGTTCAAAAGCATGTCAAAGTGCAAGTAGATAAATAGGTACCGCTCCGGTGGGAAGGTAAACGGCGTTTCCATGTGCTGCTCTGGTTTGCCAGAAGCGGCTTAGTCATGCTGCTCACATGACCCAGAAGCTGTACGTCGGCTCCCTCGACCAATAAAGCAAGATCAGTGCCGAAACCCCAGAATCAGTCATGACTGGACCTAATGGTCAGGGGTCCCTTTACCTTTTACCTAAAAAAATACTGTGTTATCAGATTTGCTAATGTTAATGTAGAAACTGCAGCAGCTTAAGTTGCTGTATTTACCAATAGAATAATGGAAGGAAGCTATTCCTTGCTTAGTTACATATTGTAGAAACAAGAATGCTGTTGAAAAGTTGCTGCACTGCTAAACAGGAGTTTTAAAGTTCAAATATGCTGCTTGGATAGACAAGGGTGATGCCTTGTATCTTTTCTGCAGAATTTTCATATGGCACTAGCATAGTTAACAAAACAAGGAGTTCCTGTAATGTGTTTCCTGTTATGAACTGGTTTTTTGGAAATGCTCTGGTCATTTGATAGTGCTTGCACAGCTACTTTCATTTCCATGTTAGCATTAGAAGTTGTTTTACTTAGTTAATAAAGAGAATAGTCAAATTTAATACAAACATTTATCTGTTTTACTTTATAGCCTTGGACTTAAAGAATTGCTATTGGATTCTTGTTCATTAACACTAACAGTTTGTACAGGGTTCTTTATGAACTTAAGGTCATGTACTACACATGCTCCCCAAAGGGCATATGAGGAACATTGGGCTGTACGCCTTCGCAGAAGGCAAATAGCTCCATGTTTGCAGCATCCTGCCTTGCATTGCATTTTCTGAATTTGTTGTGTGATAAAGTGTTGAATCAGGAACACAAGTATTATTGGGTGACATATCATTTAGAACCTTAACAGAGTAATTTGGGGATGGCTTACAATGGAAAGAGCAAACAAAAATATCAAGCTGAATTCTTTTTCTCAGTTTTCATTATGAGATTACTTTGTGGCAATCCTAACTGATTAATTGTAATCTAGATATATTACAAAAGCTTTCTTAACAGATATTCATTTTTAAATGTTAAAAGCCATAGTCAGAAACAAACTATGGTTTAATATGAATGAGCAGCATGCTTTTGTACACAGCTCAAAGTTCTCGCTGTGCTCTTCCCGCACGCCTGCTTATGCACCACCAGGAAGTAAACTGGAGTCATAATGTCTAAACCTGGGCTTTGGTTTGTTTCTCTCCAAACTACAAGTGATAACCAAAGTTTGTTTTGTTTACTGTTCATGGTTGATTTGGGGGGAAACAAACCACAAGCCTTAGTTCGGATGTCACAACAAGCCACACACAGGCTTGTTTCCTGGTGGTGTATCAACAGAAGGCGTGAGGAAGGAGCAGAGCAGCAATTTTTCAGCAGCACGCATAGGCATGTTGCACGTTCGCATTATATCATTGTTAGTTGTTAACAATGGTTTGATGTGGTGGTTTAATGCCATCAGTCACTATTGTCAGAAGGAACATTTATCTAATTTGGAGCAGGGAAGAACAACACCATGGCCCCCCTTTTACTCTTGGTGTACCATGTTGAACAAGACAGTAATTGCATACTTTTCAATATAGCTAAAAAGGAAACAGCCCTTCTTGAAGCATTTTAGAATGGGACACACCTCTGTTGGAAGTAATAAGTATGCAAAATATTAGAAGTGGAGCAATTATTTTTTGCTGCTTCATCTTTTAGTGTAACAGAAGGGTAGTAGAAGGTGTGGACTACACAAGAGTGATGCAATCCCCATATGAGGGTCCTGTTTGTGGTCCCTACTATTGTTGCTCCACATTTCTAAATAAACCACATTATATTAATAGTCTTACTGTGATTTAGTTCCAGATACTTTGTTTCATAGAGTTTGCTTCTAGTGCTTGTGCAGCTGGTTGTGGAGTGGCGCTAATGAGTGAACTTCTTCTGTTGTTAATTCTATTATTCATAACTTCAACTAAACCATTTAATTTTTTTTAATCATAGGGGGAAAGGAACAATGGCTTTGATGTTCTCTATCATAATATGAAACATGGACATGTATCTACAAAAGAACTAGCAGATTTCATAAGAGAAAGGTATGTGTGTTTATTAGCTACTTATTCTGGCATACTTACATAAACCACTGAAGACATCTTTCTGAATACTAGTCAACTACTGTATTACAGTTTAATGGTTTTACGTCATAGTTCTATGCATGTATACTTAGACATAAGCCCCACTGAATTTAGTGAGGCTTAATTTCCAGGTCTGTGTGCATTGGACTGTGGCCCTAATAAATCAAGATAGCTTGGGGAGCCTCCAGTCTGTGCGCTATTATTGCCTCTGCCACCCAGAGAGCTCCTGAACCTGAGAATTACTTGCATGCAAAGTCTTAATTCTGCCAGGATTCTTTCTCAGTGTACTGACACTCATCCAGCCTACATTGGTTCAGAACAGTCATGGTCTCTTTTGATTCAGATTTAGCAAAGAAGTAGACCTGGCTGGTGGTAGCATATTGAGGACATCAGAACTCAATCTCCTAGTCACTTGTTTCCAAAACATGCGCTACTGGTTGCTAAACTGGTTTATGCTTGCTGTTGGAAATGCAAGGAGGCCCTTCAAAACAAGAAAGAATGGGAGATGGTTTGGTACTCTTTATTTAGTCTGATTGACAGCATTCTGTAAATCTTAAAATGCATTCAAACTTGTTAATGAAATACAGAGCTGTAGTTTTTATAAAGAATTTTGTCACTGGGTTATGACCATTTAGAATGGTGAAACTCCATAGAGTGGATAATAGTCTCCCTGTTGTAAGGATCTTATAGAAATGTTTTTAATATAAAGTGGTTGCTTTAATTTGTTTATGTTTTGATACTTGTATCATATTTAATTTATTAATATTAAAGAAAAAAGAACACTGAAAGTTTTGTCTTTCTGAGAACACTACATAATCAAAATTTTCTCTTCTAGAATTATGCATGTCTATTTTTTGATCCGGGATGCGGGTGGCGCTGTGGGTTAAACCTCAGCGCCTAGGACTTGCTGATCGCATGGTCGGCGGTTCGAATCCCCACGGCGGGGTGCGCTCCCGTTGCTCGGTCCCAGCGCCTGCCAACCTAGCAGTTCGAAAGCACCCCCCGGGTGCAAGTAGATAAATAGGGACCGCTTACTAGCGGGAAGGTAAACGGCGTTTCCGTGTGCGGCTCTGGCTCACCAGAGCAGCTTTGTCACGCTGGCCACGTGACCCGGAAGTGTCTGCGGACAGCGCTGGCTCCCGGCCTGTAGAGTGAGATGAGCGCACAACCCCAGAGTCTGTCAAGACTGGCCCGTACGGGCAGGGGTACCTTTACCTTTATTTTTTGATCCAAGAAATTAGGCATTTTCACTAGGAAATGCAAATTCTGCATTCTAGTCATGAAAATTAGTGTTCATATCAGTGAGTTAATACAAATGTTCCTTCCCTTCAACAGAGGGGGAACCTTGGATCCCACCTAAGTTGATTTTGCAGCAATACATTGTCTTTACATAGCTTATTTTTCACATGCTATTTGGGTTTACAGCAAGTGTAATTATAGACTAGTGTGCAAAGTGGGAAAATGAGCTATTTGGAGAACATCTGTTTGTAGTTTAAAATATGAATTTGATACAATCAATTCAAAAATTAAACAGAATTCGGTATAGAGCAGTATTATAAAAAAGGGAAACAATGTATTTCTGTGGTCATAATTAAATGTTGTAGAGAGATTGCTCCCCCTAATGACCCACACTCAGCTATTCTTCTACCTACTGGTTTATGTGACTCTTAGAAAAAAAAGCACACCTTAGCAGATTGAGTTAAAACACGTGATTTTAGGCTAGCTTTAGACTAACTTAGGTAGTGGTTTGTTAACAAACAGTGCATTTGTTCATGTGCTCTAAGATTTGTACGTATTTTGGTTTTGGACTGCTGATTGCTGATTGTCTTCTTCCGTTGATAGAGCTACAATAGAAGAGGCATATTCAAGATCAATGACAAAGCTAGCCAAATCAGCAAGCAATTATTCACAGCTTGGGTAAGTTATGATGATTAAAAACAAAATAATTTTGTGCAGGTTCTTGGAGGCTGTTGGAGGAGCTTTTCTGCCTTTCTCTGTATAATATAATACTGATACTTAATTATATTACAGAATTATCTGGAATGTGTGTGGATGTATACAACACTTAAAACTGAGCTCTGTATGTGTGTATATGGCTTTGGGAGCGTACTCCTTTTTTCCCTTCTGTGTGTTTTCTGAATAAAAATAAAAACCTGTGCATTTAAAGAAAATGCAAAATGTTTGTGTATTTTGCATGAATTTGCTGAAGCATGATATACTCTATGTATGGTAGAACTTGGGTAGTTACGTGTTGAATATGGGAATGAAAAGAATCTGTCCTACCTTACAAGGCAATAGCAATTATTATAAGATAAAGAATGTAAAGTGGCTGCTAACTATTAGCCAGGTAGCTACCACATTCATTCAGTAGAAGGAAATATGTGGATGCAAACCTACTTCCTTTACTGAATTGAATTTGGGCAGCCCTTAGTAGTTTACAAGTTTAACCCGTATGTGACTTTCTCTTTAGTGGAAATTTGACATTTAACTTCCTAGAGGAGTAATATTTTAATAAGTGCTCCATTTGAATGTTAAAAAACCTAAAACATTGATGAGTTCTTCATCTAAACATTTGTAAAAACAATTGAAAGTTATTCACAGAGTGCCTCTCTGTAATGTCCCTGCCATTCCATTCTGCTATGCCCAAGGCCCCAACTGCCTAACTAGAGCAGGTGTGCCCAAAGCCCTGGTGGAGCATCATATTTTGCCAAGAATGAGATTTAGGACTAGCAGGCCTAAAATTATCTGCAGGAATATGACACAGTTGAGACCGAGGCACTGCTTGCCTCAGCTGCGCTTGTAAGCCTTTGAACAGGGATGAAAACTTAAAACATTCCTGTTCAGTCAGAGCTCCCACATCTAGAGTAAATTTCTGAATTGGAGAGCATTCCTAACCCTGTTCATGTTATAGTAATTACCTTTTTTTTGCTTCTAAACCAAGTAATTTTAAGTGAGTCCTGAATATGCATTGAGCAGTAATAAGAAGCTGTGATGACATTTGTCAAACCTTGAAATGCAGGACTTAGAAATTCTTATTGGGCCATAGGGAATATATTTTTGTTGGGTCAACAAGATAACAGAATAAAAGTAAACAAAAGTAAGACTCAATCAAATATCCTTAGGAGTTGCAATTAAAGAAAACTGTGGTTATTTTTTATTTATTTTTTGCTTTCAAGCTATTTCAGCACTAAAACACCCATTTTCTCTCTCTTATTTGTAGGACATTTGCACCAGTCTGGGATGTTTTTAAATCATCATCAGAAAAATTAGCAAGCTGTCACTTAGAACTTGTTCGGAAGTTGCAAGAACTAATAAAAGAAGTGCAGAAGTATGGAGATGAACAACTAAAAGCTCATAAAAAGGTTGTGTATAGTCATTTTAATGCATTTTAATAACTTCAGATGAAAATATTAAATTGGTAGTGTTTAACACACATGTCATATTTAACAGACTAAAGAAGAAGTTTCAGGAACTTTGGAAGCAATGCAAAATATTCAGAATATTACTCAGGCCCTTCAAAAAGCAAAAGAAAACTACAATTCAAAGTGTGTGGAACAGGAACGTTTGAAAAAGGAAGGTGCAACACAGAGAGAAATAGACAAGGTAATGTTTCAAAGATTTAGCTGCCTTTCTTTATAGTTTAATAGTCTAACTGCACAGATAGAAAACATCCCTACGACATTGCTGCTTTTAGTGTTTTTCAGCATAAAAAATAAGGATAATCAAAGGATGTCTTTTGCGTAAAACAATAGTATGTTATATAATAGTATAAAGTAAGGTTCTGTTTGCTTATTGAATTAGCTTATGTCTGCACAGGTGCAACATTTTGAGATTCACTGAGGCTGTAATCCTAACCACCTGATGTAGATGATGAGGGTGGGCCAGGATGCAGCATAAGCTCCTCTCTGCCAGCAGAGAGTAGTGTCACTGAGTTAACTTTGCTGTGACAAATGCCCGAACACTGCCTGAGTGGGCAAAGTCTCCCACCAGTGGGGGAAACAGCGTGTTCTGGTGGGATCCACTGGGATCCATACCACTGTAGATCCCTGAGGAGCTTGATCCTTTGGCTCCTTAAATTGACAGCCCTGCAACTGGCCCAGCAAAAAGCTGCATCTTCCACCCTGACTGGCAGGAGCAGGCAACATTTTGGAGCAGTGGAACCACCACAGCACCTAGTCTTTGACCCCTGTTAGGATTGCCCTACTCAGTTTTGTTCACTTGTTCAGTTATGTGTAGCCCCTGCTGAATTTACTGTGAGGAAAATACATTTTCCCCAAAGCACCTTCTATTAGGCTATGTAATATGTCTCAGACTACTAAAAAAACGTTACCATCCATTTAAATGTCTAAATGGATGTCTTAACATGGTCAGCATGCAGTAGACTCTGATGCCACAAGCGAGCATGATTACTTTCAGCTTGAAAAGTGTAGTGGCATTTGAATACATAATGTATTTGACTCCTCTGAACAATTCAGTTTTCCACCGTTGAAGTGCAAAGGAGAGAATGATTATGGTAAATTCAACTTTGGGTCTAGTTGGAATTTTTCTTTAAAACAAGCATAGTGCTACACTGATACTGTGCAGTGTAACTGAGCCAATAAACTTGATTTTAATGGAAAATCTAATATGTGTAGTGAGATTCAGGAAAGATTAACACCATAGTTTTCACTACTTGTTTATATATCATTAAAAAATGCTTTGAAAGGATTAGTAGAGAAAATATATTAAAATAGAATCATAGGATCATAGAATTGTGGAACTGGAAACGGATCCCAAGGGTCATCTAGTCCAACCGCCTGCAATGCAAGAATGTCAACTAGATCACACATGACGGATGGCTATCCAACCTCTGCTTAAAAACATCCAAGGAAGGAGAGTCCACCACCTCTCATGGGAGTCTGTTCCATTGTTGAACAGCTCTTACTGTCATCTTCCTGCCATCTTGTTCTATGTTTCCCCTTCGAGTTTCAATAAACTCAGAGTTATTTTAAAATGTGTTAGAGATTACTAACAACTGTGTTTTAACATTGCAAGGTGATATAGCAACTTAATTTCATGTGGTATGTTGTTTGCATGAGCCCTCATGTGGTAAGAACTGGAAATTACTGTGAGGGAGCAAAACATGAAATTGTAAGTCAGCTAAATTGATTGTAAAAAGTATGCCTTGTTATTTCTTCCTTCCCTACAATCATTATTATTTTATTATTTTATTTTAGGCAGCAGTGAAATCCAAGAAGGCTACCGATACATATAAACTCTATGTTGAAAAATATGCTGCAGCAAAATCTGATTTTGAACAAAAAATGACCGAAACTGCACAGGTAAACCTTTTCAGTATCTGCAAGGCAAACACTATAATTTGCACAGTCTCTGCTCTTCTCACTTACAATTTTCCAAGGAGTCTGGAAAAAGAGAATACAGTCAGCAAATTAAATAAAAGTGTTCCTAATCTGCACAGTTGGCTTTAAGTTCTGAGTTCAGAATTTGAACTTTTGTGTCAGGAAATACTTTTGGATAAGTTTTAAGTGCATGGGATAGAGAAACAACATTATACTCCCCCTAGCTAATTTCTTCTTACATAATGATTTGCTTCTTTCACCTGGATCAAATTTATTGTGGAATTTGTTGTGCTATTTGAATATTGCCATTTTAATTTTGATATTAAACACTTAACTTTTGGTCCTAAAACTGTTTGTTAATAAATAGAGAAATAACATAAACATGAAAAATATGTGAAGTATGCCTGCCATTTAAGGCAAGCTGAGAGCTTCCTTGGCAGGAAATGGTGCCAAGGGCATGACGGGGGGGGGGGGATCGATTCAGTTCACATTTGAATGTGAATCCTCTAAGTCACAGCTTCTAAAACAATAAAAGAACTGCAACACAGCTGTCCTTCCAAGTCCACACTTTTCCAGATTGCATGATGCAGTTCTCTAGCTGAGAAATGTGGACAGCACTGCAAGTGCTAGGGCAGAGCATACATAAGAATGCATAAGTTACCCGTATTTTTCGCTCCATAAGACACACCAGACCACAAGAAGCACCTAGTTTTTGGAGGAGGAAAACAAGAAAAAAAATATTCTGAATCTCAGAAGCCAGAACAGCAAGAGGGATTGCTTCACAGTGAAAGCAGCAATCCCTCTTGCTGTTCTGGCTTATGGGATAGCTGCGCAGCTTGCATTCGCTCCATAAGACGCACACACATTTCCCCTTACTTTTTAGAAGGGAAAAAGTAAGTCTTATAGAGCAAAAAATCTGGTAATTAAAATAACATACAAAAGGCATGTGCATTATGTCATCTATTGTCAAGCAGAATGTTGATAAGGCGCTAGCAGAGAGCGGGATGAAGAGAAGCCAACTCGCTCAAGAAGCACAGGCAAGCTCGGAAAGCGTGGGGGAGTAGTATTTCCTCACCGGAAGAGGAGGCAATTATTCCCCTGAGCCCAAGGAGTAGACGTATGGGAAAGGTATTAGAAGACAGGAAACAAATCCAGAAATGTAAGGGTCATAGGTTCAGGATATTCTGCAGAAACAGGAAGCACTCCTCAGAAGGGTCAACTGAATCGTAAGGTACAGAAGCTCCAATAGGGCATCCAAGACTGATCATTTGTTTTGCAATAAATCTTCAAGCTAATTATGACTTGCTTGCTGGTGGGCTGGACTATATTTTTTTTGGGGGGGGGAGGAATGAATTTATATGACCCACAAATAACCCAGAGATGCATTTTAAATAAAAGGACACATTCTACTCATGTAAAAACACGCTGATTCCCGGACCGTCCACGGGCCGGATTGAGAAGGAGTTTGGGCCGCATCCGGCCCCCGGCCTTAGGTTGCCTACCCCTGCTGTAGCCAGTAGCTCTTTTTTAAAAAAGAAAAAGATAGATGCTCCTCAAATTATATAGGACAAACTGCTATTGAAATCCCACCCTCTGCCATTATAAAATAAGTTTCACCAAAGACCTGGGGGTCTGGAATTTGAGAAACACAAATTCAAAACCCCAATTTCTGTGAATCCAGACCTGTCTTTATATGCTCTACATAATATGCTTCCCAGCAGCATGAAATGTGTTGTGGGAGCACTGTTTATGGGCTCACAAACACTTCTTCCAGAACCCACACACATTGCTTTCAAAGAAATGCTGTCTTATGGTACAATTTATATTTCCCATCTGTCGGGCAATTGTAAAATGATTCAAAATTTGTTGCACATATGGGATTATGAAGTCTGAGTGATCCTGCTTGGCATACAGCCAAACGTTTGCATTTCACTGCAGAAATTATTGCACATCCTGAATCAGGAAGTGAACGCAACGAGCGTGAGATTGCCTGAAGTTGAAAGCGGATACTGTTAACGCTTACCTGGGCTTGATTTCCTTTGGTGAATGAGATAACTGGAGACGTAAGTCATTCTTGTAATATTTGAGTTTATTTACAAATATATGAGGTGAGTATAACTGGAGATTGGTCTTAACACGCCAACAAAGTGAGTCCACTGTGGCCACGTCAGATCTTGATGGAAGGGCACTCCTGCAGCATCTGTCTATTTTGCTTAGCAATGTGGGATGCAAATACCATCTGTGGATTAGCTTTAAGGTGTTTTCTCTTATTCGGGCAGAAATAGCTCGAAAACGGGCTTTTTGCCGCATTCCTTCCCACAAACCATCATCAATCCCTTCTCCAAGTCTCTTTCCCATCTAGTTTTCAACATGGAGGGCTTTGAGGTTGAGAAATTTACAATCGCTTCATAGATTAAAGCAATTAGACCATAGGGTCTGTGGTATATAAAATATTTTCAAATGCAGTTAGTGACTTTGTCCCTTGTTTGTGGATTTCTGCGCTACTTATAAAATGGATGACTTGATGGATTAACATCCAATTGTGGGGAAAGTTTTGAACCATTTCTTGTAGTGTTAATCCACACAAAGGGGTGCTGTCTTTGTAAAAGTCTTTAAGCCGAAACAGGCCCCCATTTCCCCATTTTTCAAAGGGGAATGTTCTTTCTCTGTTATAGAAAGTAGGGTGAAATGCCAATGGGATTACAGGAGAAAGCTGAGAGGCCGTCTGTTCTTCCAAACTTTTAGATTAGATAATAAAAAGGGGTTTTCTATCTCAATAATTTTTTTATTATTAATTTGCCAAAATGGGACCCCTCCTATTGAATACTGTTCATTTGGGTTTTCCATATTTAGCCAAGCTATTTCAGCACTAAAACACCCATTTTCTCTCTCTTATTTGTAGGACATTTGCACCAGTCTGGGATGTTTTTAAATCATCATCAGAAAAATTAGCAAGCTGTCACTTAGAACTTGTTCGGAAGTTGCAAGAACTAATAAAAGAAGTGCAGAAGTATGGAGATGAACAACTAAAAGCTCATAAAAAGGTTGTGTATAGTCATTTTAATGCATTTTAATAACTTCAGATGAAAATATTAAATTGGTAGTGTTTAACACACATGTCATATTTAACAGACTAAAGAAGAAGTTTCAGGAACTTTGGAAGCAATGCAAAATATTCAGAATATTACTCAGGCCCTTCAAAAAGCAAAAGAAAACTACAATTCAAAGTGTGTGGAACAGGAACGTTTGAAAAAGGAAGGTGCAACACAGAGAGAAATAGACAAGGTAATGTTTCAAAGATTTAGCTGCCTTTCTTTATAGTTTAATAGTCTAACTGCACAGATAGAAAACATCCCTACGACATTGCTGCTTTTAGTGTTTTTCAGCATAAAAAATAAGGATAATCAAAGGATGTCTTTTGCGTAAAACAATAGTATGTTATATAATAGTATAAAGTAAGGTTCTGTTTGCTTATTGAATTAGCTTATGTCTGCACAGGTGCAACATTTTGAGATTCACTGAGGCTGTAATCCTAACCACCTGATGTAGATGATGAGGGTGGGCCAGGATGCAGCATAAGCTCCTCTCTGCCAGCAGAGAGTAGTGTCACTGAGTTAACTTTGCTGTGACAAATGCCCGAACACTGCCTGAGTGGGCAAAGTCTCCCACCAGTGGGGGAAACAGCGTGTTCTGGTGGGATCCACTGGGATCCATACCACTGTAGATCCCTGAGGAGCTTGATCCTTTGGCTCCTTAAATTGCCAGCCCTGCAACTGGCCCAGCAAAAAGCTGCATCTTCCACCCTGACTGGCAGGAGCAGGCAACATTTTGGAGCAGTGGAACCACCACAGCACCTAGTCTTTGACCCCTGTTAGGATTGCCCTACTCAGTTTTGTTCACTTGTTCAGTTATGTGTAGCCCCTGCTGAATTTACTGTGAGGAAAATACATTTTCCCCAAAGCACCTTCTATTAGGCTATGTAATATGTCTCAGACTACTAAAAAAACGTTACCATCCATTTAAATGTCTAAATGGATGTCTTAACATGGTCAGCATGCAGTAGACTCTGATGCCACAAGCGAGCATGATTACTTTCAGCTTGAAAAGTGTAGTGGCATTTGAATACATAATGTATTTGACTCCTCTGAACAATTCAGTTTTCCACCGTTGAAGTGCAAAGGAGAGAATGATTATGGTAAATTCAACTTTGGGTCTAGTTGGAATTTTTCTTTAAAACAAGCATAGTGCTACACTGATACTGTGCAGTGTAACTGAGCCAATAAACTTGATTTTAATGGAAAATCTAATATGTGTAGTGAGATTCAGGAAAGATTAACACCATAGTTTTCACTACTTGTTTATATATCATTAAAAAATGCTTTGAAAGGATTAGTAGAGAAAATATATTAAAATAGAATCATAGGATCATAGAATTGTGGAACTGGAAACGGATCCCAAGGGTCATCTAGTCCAACCGCCTGCAATGCAAGAATGTCAACTAGATCACACATGACGGATGGCTATCCAACCTCTGCTTAAAAACATCCAAGGAAGGAGAGTCCACCACCTCTCATGGGAGTCTGTTCCATTGTTGAACAGCTCTTACTGTCATCTTCCTGCCATCTTGTTCTATGTTTCCCCTTCGAGTTTCAATAAACTCAGAGTTATTTTAAAATGTGTTAGAGATTACTAACAACTGTGTTTTAACATTGCAAGGTGATATAGCAACTTAATTTCATGTGGTATGTTGTTTGCATGAGCCCTCATGTGGTAAGAACTGGAAATTACTGTGAGGGAGCAAAACATGAAATTGTAAGTCAGCTAAATTGATTGTAAAAAGTATGCCTTGTTATTTCTTCCTTCCCTACAATCATTATTATTTTATTACTTTATTTTAGGCAGCAGTGAAATCCAAGAAGGCTACCGATACATATAAACTCTATGTTGAAAAATATGCTGCAGCAAAATCTGATTTTGAACAAAAAATGACCGAAACTGCACAGGTAAACCTTTTCAGTATCTGCAAGGCAAACACTATAATTTGCACAGTCTCTGCTCTTCTCACTTACAATTTTCCAAGGAGTCTGGAAAAAGAGAATACAGTCAGCAAATTAAATAAAAGTGTTCCTAATCTGCACAGTTGGCTTTAAGTTCTGAGTTCAGAATTTGAACTTTTGTGTCAGGAAATACTTTTGGATAAGTTTTAAGTGCATGGGATAGAGAAACAACATTATACTCCCCCTAGCTAATTTCTTCTTACATAATGATTTGCTTCTTTCACCTGGATCAAATTTATTGTGGAATTTGTTGTGCTATTTGAATATTGCCATTTTAATTTTGATATTAAACACTTAACTTTTGGTCCTAAAACTGTTGTTAATAAATAGAGAAATAACATAAACATGAAAAATATGTGAAGTATGCCTGCCATTTAAGGCAAGCTGAGAGCTTCCTTGGCAAGGAATGTCGTATTTGCAAAGCAAACAAACTGTACTGTGTTTGAGTTTGTGTATTTTAAGTTAGTTCTTTGTGTTGCACTAGAACAGAAGCTTCACATTGCATACTTGTTGGAAGATTCTTAATGCACATCTCTTTATTTTGATTAGATTTGGCATATCAATTTTTAAAAGTACGTTGGCATTTATAGGATTGAACTGAATATCAATATAATTGGGTCCATTGGAGTTGTTGGTGACTGCAACAGGACAGAGTAAAAAAGTAAAACAAACAAATAAAAAAGATTGATATAATTTCCTTGATCAAATTAAGTTCAAAATTTTGAATGTAAAATATATATGCCAGGATTTGATAAGTTAATAAAGCAGAAGTGGCAGCTGTAGTCAATGAAGGCTAAACCTCACACGGGCCTTTTTTTAGCCTCATATTTATTTTTCAGTTTTTAAGTGTGCTGTCTTAAACTCTTAAAACCCACAAAATGGGTCTTTTTCAAACATGATTGTATAGGGGGGAAAGACTTTTTTCTACTCATCATATTAAGACCGTAACTTTCTGCAGTAGTAATGTGCATTTACTGAAATGTTACATGTGGCTGAGATGTATAGACTTTAGGTAGGGTTGCAATAAGTCTGGAATTTCCTGGACATGTCAGGGATTCAAACGGCGAAATAAGCATCCAGTGGAATTTTGAAAAACAGAAGAAGCTGTACTATGTATAAGTGAATTTTCAGTTACTGTGCATAGGGCCTTACTTTGTCACATGATTGGTAGAGTCTTTGCAATATTAAGCAGCTGAAGGATGAGTTAGAACCAAGACTAGATACAGCTTAACTGATGAATGTATTCCACAATCCCAAATGTGAAAGCAAGCTAATTATGGGAGCTCAGTGGACAGTTCAGTATATCAGTATTTTAAATCCAGTTTTGACTTAAGCTGTTTTAACTCTAAATAAGCCCTAAAAACAACACTTATTTGTTCTGCAGAAATTTCAAGACATTGAAGAAATGCATCTGTTCCATATGAAAGAGATTATAGAATGTTTTTCAAATACAGTCAAAGAAGTTCACTTACAAATTGGCGAGGTGAGTTTTTTATAGTAGCTCTTATTATTCAGGCTATAAATTAAGATGTATTTCATCTTCACTGAAGTTTGTAGGTATCCAAATTTAGCAGGAGTTGTATTTAATCTGCTGCTGTAGGTGTGGAGAAAGATATGGGTGTGTGATAAACTTTCAATCAAGTTTTATAGATTGTTCCTCCATTACCTGTATCTAGATGTAAAAATAATTTTGGTAATTACCGGTATGTATTTCTAGGATAAGAAGAAATAAAAAGCATATTTGGGCCCATAGAGCTTAAGTCTGTGGGAACACCCCACCATCAGACCCTCACTTTTCATACTTACGGTTGTAAAGAGAGAAAAGACATCTTTACAAAAGTCTAGTTGTGAGGAGCTTCACTTGAGATGATGGAGGTTAACCTCAGTGCAGCAGTGGTCTTTGTCTTGAGACCTCTGGTAGTGGGAAGCGCTGGAAACTACAATCTGCTATAGTTCACATGTTTTCCAGTATCTTTAGATGCCTCAGAACTGGGTATCTTCTGCTGCTTTGATGCTCCTTAAATCATTCACCCTTCCTCAGTGCAAGGGTCAGATTGGGAAAAGGGTGGGCTGGTAGTGGGGAGGGCTTGCGGAGTGGCACTGAGTCAAAACAGTTTCTAAATGGGTCCAAATTTTAGTGTGGTTTGAGTATAACTTATAATTGGCCCAGACAGGGAACTCATATATTCACAACTCTGAACACCCTGATCCAGAGATCTGGTGGTAGCATGAGAAAACAAATGTGACTAAGGTTGTTGCTCTTTGTCGCATGGGACAAGGACACTTCAGTCAATGTAGTGCCCTCCAGATGTTGTTGGAGGACAACTCCTGTCTTTCTTCAGCATTGGTGATGTTGATTGGCACTGATGGGAGTTACAGTTCAACAACATCTGAAGGGCACCACATTGGCAAGCTCCATTCTGGTGTATCTGGCATGGGGCATAATTATTTTGCTGTTACCAAACAAATTTACTTGGAAGTTGGTCCCCTTTTATTTACTATAAAAAGGATGCCCCTGAATCTAAATGAAGAAAACTCTTCGCTAGGCACAAAGTGGAAAATATATCTCTATTGACATTTAGCATAAATGAATCTTGTCTCATAGCTCATTTCCAGGAGTAAAACGTTGACTGCTGAATTTCCATACTGAATGCTTTTATCGTCATCTTGACTGTTTGAATTCTAAAACTTTAATTTTTTTCTTCATGTAATTAAAGAGATCAGTTTGCCCAACTAGGATCTAAAAACAACCTACCATAACAGTTTATATCTATTGTACCTTGTGTTCTAGTATTTTTATAGTTGTGCAGTATTCATTATACTATTAGAATGTTGATATGGCATTTTTGCATATGGTTAAAAAATAACACTAAGCAAAACTTATTTTTTATTCCCCAAATCATTAGTTTGAGCTAAAAATACAGATATTTGAGATCAAAGGGATGGTGTTTATGATTTTGAAATTGTTTCTTTACCCTTTTTTTGTTTTGGCCAAATTCTTATTAGGATTTAACTTAGATTGAGACCTGGGTATGGTTTAATTTATATTACTGCATGTTTATATCAATTATAAAGAACTATATCATGCTTATACTAAAAATGAAAGTGACCTTGAGGGAGACAGAATGTATTTCTATCATTCAGATTTTCTGAGTAATCCTAATATGTTTGGTATTGAAAGAGACCCTCAGTATGCCATTTGCAGACAGGTCTGGACCCAAACAACTTTTTTAAAGAAACTAAGTTGTTCATATAAGACACACATTTCAGGATCTTAGAGGGGCGTAGTAGTCCTAGCTTATTATATTAACAATACAGTGTCTAAAATCCAAAGACTGGCCAAGACATAGTCAACAATATTGTGCTAGCTCTGTGATAATATTTACTTCAAACAGCTGACACCCCCCCAATCATATTACAAATTGCTTTTGAAACTAAAAGCAGTTTGCCAGTCACCATAGGGAATGTTTGAGGAAAACAACCCTAAGGCTTACAGAACTAGTTTTATGGTTTTTTGAGTCCCAGCCTGACACTTTTTACTTATAAGAGCAAGATGGGAAGTGTAATAATTGAACAATCCGTTTGTGTGCAAATTGCTGAAGCCCACAAAGTTATATTTACTAGTGTTCTTTTTCTCAAAGGTACATGAAGAATTTATAAATAACATGGCAAACACAACAGTTGAAAGTTTGATACAAAATTTGCTGAGTCGAAAGGCACAGGCAAAGAGCGACCTGGTAAGAGATACAAAATAATTGATTTGGTATTTTTTTTAAATAAAAGATTGCTTGATATTATCTTCCAGTGTTCAATGCGCATGTGCGCACACACACTCCTCCATCTATGCTCCTCTTGAATAATTGATACTATGCATATATAACTGTAATTTACTGGTAGTAATGAATGCAGATATTTAGTTCACTATCATGATTCTTTTTTGTCTGGATAATGCCAGTTCAAAGGAAAAAAATGCTGTGGGGGGGGGGACAACTGTGAAAAGGTGAATTCCATGCTGGGTATCATTAGGAAAGGAATTGAAAATAAAACAGCCAACATGATAATGCCATAGAAATCTAGGGTGCAAATATAGTTTGATTACAGTGTATAGTTCTGGTCACCGCACTTCAAAATGGATATTGTGGAGCTGGAAAAGGTTAACCAAAATTATCAAGGGGATAGAGCAACTCCGCTATAAAGCAAGGTTATAGTTTTGGGTGCTTTTTGGTTTAGAGATAAAGTGAGTAAGAGGAGACATCATAAAGGTATATATGGTGTAGGGAAAGTGTTCAGGGATTCCCCCCCCCCATAAACCTAGAACTTGTGGACATCCAGTAACTGAATGTTAGAACATTCAGGACTGACAAAAGAAAGTACTTCTTCAGTTGGTGAATAGTTAAACTCTGGCACTTGCTCCCACAATAAGTAATAATGGTCATCTACTTGGATGGCTTTAAGGATGTCTAAGAGGATTAGACAAATTCATCCAGGATGAGGTTATCAATTGCTACAAGTCATTGCTACAGTCACTGACAATGGAAGAAGGGAAGAATTCTGTTTTGCTCAAGTCCTCCTTGCAGTCTTCCTATGGGCACCTGGTTGGCCATTGGCCTCATTCAGCAGGCTCTTCTTACATTCTTACAATATAAAAATAGTTTTGAAATCTTTTATTTCCAGTCAAACAAAGGTTAAATTCCTTCCATGTGACATTCAAACAGATTAAATTATTGATTCTCCAATCATATTCTTTCCTGTCTTCAGCTGTATTTTTTTATTGCCTAATTGTGTTATGCTTAAAATAGGCCATAAAAATTAATAGCTGTGTTCTGCAAACAGCTGCCAAGTTTACCATAATTGTTCTGCACTTGTTGCACAATATTTTTAAACCTTGTCACATTTGTTTCTAGGCTAGCATTCTGATGTTCTGCAGATCGGTTACATGTTTCCAAGGCATTAATTTCCATGACTAATGTGCATATATTACTTAGCATCATCTTATTTGATGTAGTATAGGAAAATCCCAGTAGAGACAAGACTTCAAGGGCTGCAGTTTTGTGCCCATGTAGCTTGGGAGTGAGGCTTACTTCTGAATAAACATGTATAGGATTGTAAATCAGCTTCCAGCTGTCCTCATTCTAAAAATAGAAACCTTTTTTAAAATTATTTTTTCCGGGATCATTAAACGCACATAAAATCCAAAGGAGGAAATGTTGTAGAAATGGCTGATTTCAACTACCCTGATGTAGACTGACTACATATATGTTCCAAAGAGGTAAAATTCTACATACCCCAAATTACTGTATCTTAAAATGGTTGGTCATGGAACTGACCAGAGGGGCAGTGACCTTGGACTTAATCTTTAGCAGTATCCATGACCTGGCATCAGATATGTGTTGTTAAGTCAGTTGGGAGCAGTGACCACAGTGCTATTAAATATACATGTAAATGACTGATTGCTAAGAAAATTCAACACGGTCACGTTTGATTTCAAAACAAGAAACTTGTCCAAAATGAAGGGATTTGTAAAAAGGAATTTGAAAGGCAAAGTCAAAAAGGTAAATTCATTCAGATGCTTGAGAGTTGTTTAAAAGCACCATGTTAGAAGTCCAACTGGAGTGTATGCTGCAGATCAGGAAAGTTAGGAGGGCCAAGAGAATGTTAGCTAACCCTCATTTTAATTGAACATCATTGTATTCAAAGGAGAGCACAATACCTGTAGACACCATACATAAGTGCATGCACACAGCAAAGTTGATGTTGAATTACAATAAAATGCAAAAAAAGTTCAGCTTTGACAACTTAATCAGAGCTTAAATGAATGCAAAACAAATACATTGCAATTGATTTTTACAACCCCTGTAGAAATTCCAACCAGGAATTTACAGACCACATTGGCACCTGTACTAGACCCAATTAGTTCTCCCTTATTTTAAGGGTAATACTTGAATACATTTTGCCTTCTCAGCTTCCATATTTTGCTTGAATATAGATATGCCCACAGTGTATATTAAAGGACAGAAACGGTGTAGTCTTTGGTTTTCTGTGCTTTGTAGATGAATTGCTTGTGCAACTTTCTGCAGTGCTGCTTCAGTTTTTAAAAACAGGTATTGCTTTTTTATTTTGGCAGACTGAAGTTACAGTAGGGCATTATTTGACTGAGCAGATGAGTAGTGTAAATAGGAAAAGGAGAGAATCTCAGGTTGATAGAGTTGGAGGAAATCAGTTTTACTATTTCTTTTTTAATTCACTGGGAGTGTGCATGATGCAGTAGTTAAAAGTTGTGATCTAGTAGTATACATAAATGATTTACAAAACCCATGGCCTGCCCCAGCTAATATTCAAGGAGGTGAAACCTGTTATGGTTCCTCACCTGTACACAACTCTTAAAGGTACAAGAACCCTGAACTCGTTTGCATTTGCTCTTATGCATGTATGTAAAACACATTCTAAAGTGCTGGAAAGGTTAGACTGTTCTGGTAGTTCAAC